TCCCCGCGTCCCCAGCGCCCCAGCGGGAGACCCCCCCACAACCTCCCCCACCCTCCCTCCCCGCATCCCCAGCGCCCCGGCAGGAGCCCAGCCCAGTCACCCCGAGCCCCCCCGCGTCCCCAGCGCTCCAATAGAGCCCCGCCCACAGCCCCCTCCGCCACGAAGGTTTTCTTCCGCGTCGCACGGCCCCCACCGTCCCGCCCCCACGATCGTTCTCCCCTCCTCGCCCGCCCAGTGCACCCCGCCCCCCCTCCGCTCCGACCATATTATTTCTGCGTCTCACCGCCCCCGCCGTCCCGCCCCCCCGAGATTTCTCCGATTTCTCGTTCCCTCTCTCCCCCCCCTTTCCTCCTGCTCCTCCTCCTCCTTCTCTTTCTTCCTGTTCCTCCTCCTCATCCTCCTCCTACTCCTACTCTTCCTCCTCCTCCTCCTCCTCCTTCCACCTCCGTTTTGTGCAAGAGCTATGGCACGCGTGTCACTTGTTATTATTCCCGGTCTTTTCCTCATCTTTCATATTAGTATTCATCTGCTTATTATTATTGTTATTATTCCTCCTCCTCATCATCATCATCATCATCATCATCCTCGTCCTCCTCGTCCTCCTCGTCTTCCTCGTCCTCCTCGTCCTCCTCCTCCCTCTCCCCTTCCTCCTTGTCCCCCTCCTCCTCCTCCTCCTCCTCCTCCTCCTCCTCCTCCTCCTCCTCCTCCTCTTCTTCCGAACCAGCACCGACGACTGCAGCGTAGCAAAAACGCATGCATCCTCCCACTTGATGCACAGGACACCCTGGCTATGGCTGACGCGAACACACTCGCAGACAACCAGGGTGCCATCCACCACAACAACGTCGTCGTAGGTACCTCGGGTTACACAAGGGCACTGGACAGCAACTGGCCCGACCCAGCTGCGAAAGATGCATTGGCATTGGCAGGGCCACAACGAAGCTGACGATGTCGAGGAATCCGTGCCAAGACTGCCTCGCTATGTAGCGCAAGACTTGGTGGGGCATGGGACAATAAAACCTATGCTGTACGGATAGCGCTGACATACCATTGAATCGTGTCACACTTTCGGCGACATCTCATGGGAGCCTCCCATGCCATCTTGCTGACGATTGCGAACCGACGCGGATCGACGCTAAATCAACGCGAGTCGACGCAAAACCGGCGCGCTCTCATTGTGATCACCAAGCGCTGGCGCACGCCGTTGCACCCTGGTGACGGACTTGCGAAGACACACCTGGCTCCCACAATCTGCCACCAAAGCACTCCTCTTGCGGGATAGGGCGAGCGGGGGGGAAACGGCAGAGGCCGCCAATCGCAGACCGCAACCGGGTCGGCGCTGCCCAGACTGAGGCGGCCGCTCCGCAGCGAGCGGCCCAGGACGGCGAGGCTGTGGGGGAAGCTGAACCGCTGGCACTGCTCGACCTGGGGTACGGCTGGCGCCGCAGGGGTCGCGCGCAGTACCAGCCTCCGAGAAGCACGCTGCCCAGGCGTTATGGCGTCATCGGTGCACGATATATCCTCAAGGTGGGGGGGACTGCGTGTGACCAGCGGGCCGGCGGCGCCACAACGCACAGTATGTTTGCGAACCCAGCCGTACACCGTGCCCGGCCAGGACAGGTGGGCGACGAAAAGAAGGGGGTCTTGCGCGAGATGGCATGGCGGCCATACGCAGTGGCTCGCGCGGGCCGCCAGCGCGGCACACCGCGTGGAGAACGAGGGCGCTTCCGCACGGCCTTACGCGGCAAACTTACGCTCGTACGCCGGCAAAATCGACCCCGTTCTCTTCCGTCGCTCCGTGGACGGCGCGCGAAGGTGGGCGGGGCGAGGGGGGGGTCTTCTAAGAAGGCATGGGGGTTCGTCGCTGCTCGAGCTTAGGTGGCCCTGGGGCCCGAGAACCCCCCAGACGCAACAATCAAATCACTGGAAAAACGCACGTGCCTGTTCGCTACGCATAGGGATCAGGGTCCTCCTCCTCCTCCTCCTCCTCCTCCTCCTCCTCCTCCTCCTCCTCCTACCCCTCCCACACCCACTGCTACTACTTCTACTGCGACTGCTATTGCTACTACTGCTACTACTGCGACTACTGCTAGTACAGTCACTAATGCGATTACTACTACTACTACTACTACTACTACTACTACTACTACCCCTACTACTACTACTCCTACTACTCCTACTACTCCTACTACTACTACTACTACTATTACTACTACTACTACTACTACTACTACGACGACGACGACGACGACGACGACGACGACGACGACGACGACGACTACTACTACTACTACTGCTACTACTGCTACTACTACGACTGCTACTACTACTACTACTACTACTACTACTACTACTACTACTACTGCTACGACTACTACTACTACTACTACTACTACTACTACTACTACTACTACTACTACTACTACTATTACCATTACTACTACTGCTACTACTACTACTACTACTACTACTACTACGTTCTAGTAGTAGTCTAGTACTAATAATATAATTACTTAACCCTTCGAAGTACCCAACCCATGCGCAAAAGCGGGGCGCAAATATTTTAGGATACTTTTAAATGGGGCGATGACGGAGCGAGGGTTCATATGTCTGCAGACGGAATTCGGGAGACTCGCAGGCACTGTCTACAGAAAGGGCTTGATAAAGCTGATGGATTTACAATTCTGAGCACTCCTAGCCAAATCGAAAACGGGGATCACAGCAGGCCTCGAACGTGGCGACAGTTTCACAGATCGCAGCCCCCCAGGGATGGCGAGGTCTAATTTGGGTCCGCGCGTGGCGTCACTGTGCTGGGCCCCAGCAGGCCTCGAAAGTGGCGACAGTTTCACAGATCGCAGCCCCCCAGGGATGGCGAGGTCTAATTTGAGTCCGCGGTGAGTACCCACTGTGCTGGGCCCCCCTGCAGGCCTCGAAAGTGGCGACAGTTTCACAGATCGCAGCCCCCCAGGGATGGCGAGGTCTAATTTGAATCTGCGCGTGGCCCTCACTGTGCTGGGCCCCCCAGCAGGCCTCGAAAATGGCGACAGTTTCGCAGATCGCAGCCCCCCAGGGATGGCGAGGTCTAATTTGAATCCGCGCGTGGCCCTCACTGTGCTGGCCCCCCCAGCAGGCCTCGAAAATGGCGACAGTTTCACAGATCGCAGCCCCCCAGGGATGGCGAGGTCTAATTTGAATCCGCGCGTCGCCCTCACTGTGCTGGGCCCCCCAGCAGGCCTCGAAAATGGCGACAGTTTCGCAGATCGCAGCCCCCCAGGGATGGCGAGGTCTAATTTGAATCCGCGCGTGGCCCTCACTGTGCTGGGCCCCCCAGCAGGCCTCGAAAATGTCGACAGTTTCGCAGATCGCAGCCCCCCAGGGATGGCGAGGTCTAATTTGAATCCGCGCGTGGCCCTCACTGTGCTGGGCCCCCCAGCAGGCTCGAAAATGGCGACAGTTTCGCAGATCGCAGCCCCCCAGGGACGGCGAGGTCTAATTTGAATCCGCGCGTGGCCCTCACTGTGCTGGGCCCCCAAAAAAAAAAAAAGCCAAGGTGCCCCCCCCCCGCCTCGAAAATGGCGACAGTTTCGCAGATCGCAGCCCCCCAGGGATGGCGAGGTCTAATTTGAATCTGCGCGTGGCCCTCACTGTGCTGGGCTCCCCAGCAGGCCTCGAAAATGGCGACAGTTTCGCAGATCGCAGCCCCCCAGGGATGGCGAGGTCTAATTTGAATCCGCGCGTGGCCCACACTGTGCTGGGCCCCCCAGCAAGCCTCGAAAATGGCGACAGTTTCGCAGATCGCAGCCCCCCAGGGATGGCGAGGTCTAATTTGAATCTGCGCGTGGCCCTCACTGTGCTGGGCCCCCCAGAAGGCCTCGAAAATGGCGACAGTTTCGCAGATCGCAGCCCCCCAGGGATGGCGAGGTCTAATTTGAATCCGCGCGTGGCCCTCACTGCGCTGGGCCCCCCAGCAGGCCTCGAAAATGGCGACAGTTTCGCAGATCGCAGCCCCCCGCAGGCAAGACAGGAAGAGGCGGGAGGAGAAGGGACGCGACCACACTGCTCTATTCAAAACGAATCCCCAACCAAGGAGGGTTGGGAACAATTACCCTGGCGACGTACCCAACCCCTGCGCAAAAGCGGGGCGCAAATAGTTTAGGATACTTTATAAGGGGGCGATGACGGAGCGAGGGTTACATATGTCTGCAGACGGAATTCGGGAGACTCGCAGGACACTGGCTACAGGAAAAAGGCTTGATAAAGCTGATGAGTTACAATTCCTGAGCACTCCTAGCCACTTCGAAAACGGGGATCACAGCAAGCCTCGAAAGTGGCGACAGTTTCACAGATCGCAGCCCCGCAGGGATGGCGAGGTCTAATTTGGGTCCGCGCGTGGCCTCACTGTGCTGGGCCCCCCAGCAGGCCTCGAACATGGCGACCGTTTCACAATCGCAGCCTCCAGAGGATTGCGAGGTCATCATTTGGAATCTGCCCGTGTCGTCACTGGCGCTGGGCCCCCCAGCGACCTCGAGTGCGACAGTTTCACAGATCGCAGCCCCCCACACCACGGGAGCCCGTTGAATCGCGCGCGTGGCCCTCACTTTGCGGGGCCCCCCAGCAGGCCTCGAAAGTGGCGACAGTTTCACAGATCGCAACCCACCCAGGGATGGTGAGGTCTAATTTGAATCCGCGCGTGCCCTCACTGTGCTGGGCCCCCCAGCAGGCTTCGAAAATGGCGACAGTTTCACAGATCGCAGCCCCCCCAGGGATGTCGAGGTCTAATTTGAATCTGCCCGTGGCCCTCACTGTGCTGGGCCCCCCAGCAGGCCTCGAAAATGGCGACAGTTTCACAGATCGCAGCCCCCCAGGGATGGCGAGGTCTAATTTGAATCTGCCCGTGGCCCTCACTGTGCTGGGCCCTCCAGCAGGCCTCGAAAATGGCGACAGTTTCACAGATCGCTCCCCCCCAGGGATGGCGAGGTCTAATTTGAATCTGCCCGTGGCGTCACTGTGCTGGGTGGGCCCCCCAGCAGGCCTCGAAAATGGCGACAGTTTCACAGATCGCAGCCCCCCCAGGGATGGCGAGGTCTCATTTGAATCTGCCCGTGGCCCTCACTGTGCTGGCCCCCCCAGCAGGCCTCGAAAATGCGTGGCAGTTTCACAGATCGCAGCCCCCCAGGGATGGCGAGGTCTAATTTGAATCCGCGCGTCACCCTCACTGTGCTGGGCCCCCCAGCAGGCCTCGAAAATTGCGACAGCTTCACAGATCGCAGCCCCCCCAGGGATGTCGAGGTCTAATTTGAATCTGCCCGTGGCCCTCACTGTGCTGGGCCCCCAAGCAGGCCTCGAAAATGGCGACAGTTTCACAGATCGCAGCCCCCCCAGAGATGGCGAGGTCTAATTTGAATCTGCCCGTGGCCCTCACTGTGCTGGGCCCCCCAGCAGGCCTCGAAAATGGCGACAGTTTCGCAGATCGCAGCCCCCCAGGGATGGCGAGGTCTAATTTGACTCCGCGCGTGGCCCTCACTGTGCTGGGCCCCCCAGCAGGCCTCGAAAATGGCGACAGTTTCGCAGATCGCAGCCCCCCAGGGATGGCGAGGTCTAATTTGAATCTGCGCGTGGCCCTCACTGTGCTGGTCCCCCCAGCAGGCCTCGAAAATGGCGACAGTTTCGCAGATCGCAGCCCCCCAGGGATGGCGAGGTCTAATTTGAACCTGCCCGTGGCGTCACTGTGCTGGCCCCCCCCGCAGGCCTCGAAAGTGGCGACAGTTTCACAGATCGCAGCCCCCCAGGGATGGCCGAGTGGGGTCTAATTTGGAATCTGCCCGTGGCGCTCGTGCTGGGCCCCCCGCAAGGCCTCGAAAATGGCGACAGTTTCACAGATCGCAAGCCCCCAGGGATGGGCGAGGTCTATTTGAATCTGCCCGTGGCCCTCACTGTGCTGGGCCCCCCAGCAGGCTTCGAAAATGGCGACAGTTTCTCAGATCGCAGCCCCCCAGGGATGGCGAGGTCTAATTTGAATCTGCCCGTGGCCCTCACTGTGCTGGGCACCCCAGCAGGCCTCGAAAATGGCGACAGTTTCACAGATCGCAGCCACCCGCGGGCAAGACAGGAAGAGGCGGGAGGGGAAAAGGAAGGGAGGGGGAGGGACGCAGACCCACACTCTCTATTCAAAACGACCACTCAACCAAGGAGGTTTGGTATATGATAATAAGAATACTACGAATAATAAGTAACAATTATTTCAATACACTACCACTCACTACTACTAATACTAACCACCACCACACCACCACCACCACCACCACCACCACCACCACCACCACCACCACCACCACCACCACTACTACTACTACTACTACTACTACTACTACGACTACGACTACGACTACGACTACGACTACGACTACGACTACGACTACGACTAC